AAGGAGGGGGCTTTGTAGAAAACGAAGCGTTTGAGAGAGGCGGGGCATATAGGACCTACAATAATGTACAGTATTTGAAAAATAATGTGTTTTTTGAACATTAAAGCATGTCAACATATTCTGTTACACCAAATACACAAAATAATGATCTTTAAAAAAGCATCATATGACCCCTTTAAAGACTGTCCACACCAATAAAAATGTTTGGCACAAAAATTTGGTCCAATTTTGCACGTGATAAGTGGCAGACGGGCTGAAAATCAAAATCAACCTCTGACAGTAGGTGGTGCTGAATTCATTCGTTCATTCATTCATTCATTCATTCATTCATTCATACGCAAAACATGAAATACAAATACTTTAATGTACAGTCATTATATGTGCTGTGCTACCTTTTGTTTCTGACACCCGACTGTCATGATAAATCTTGTTTTCAAAAAACTATTTGCAAAAATGCAACTCTTATTGGTTGGTCAGATTTCTTCGCAATGCAATCTTCACAGTTGCATCTCTAGTAGTTTGTTGTTGTTGTGTTTCTTACTATTCTTTTTCGACTGTGAAACAAGGGGCCAGGCCAGTGTTGCCACCTTTTAAAACAACTGAGTGCAAAAAACAAAAAACAAAAATCACCTCACTCACACTATACATTATTAAAAAAGTACTATTCGTAGAGAACATATAAAAATCATAGTATACTTTGCAATTTACTAGCAATAAATTTAACATTTAACATGTCCATTTAACATGGATATGGACTTATCCCACATAATAGAACACAGAAGGGTTTATATAGGCTAAAAGCAACCATAAGATCATCGTCAAAAGGAGTTAAAGCTTCAAAATTTTGACTAAATTTTACTTAATTTACTAAGGACGATACCTACGAAAAACTGGCAAGAACATTGATCTGACTGATGTATGAAATCATGTATCATACCTTGTCATTGTCAGCATTTTTCACATTCTCAACCTCTTTTACACGATTGTGTTTAAATAATGAATTTTATATTATGTTCAACATAATTCTAAGAAACCATCACAAGAAAAGCCTGATCATAACATCTTCTCCGTCCTCGTATCTGTGCAGCACATCCCTACTCTCTCGTCCCACTCAGAAACACAGTCGCAGAGTTTACTGCGCAGGTCTCTTATGAGATGCACAGAGAAACGTTTAATAAAAAGGCCATCTTTGGCCCTCCGGCTTGTTGACCATAGAGAGTGAGATTAATGGAGGGATGTAGCAGGAAAGGAGAGAAGGTGAGAGCAGAAGTCAAATTAGAGAGAGAGAAAGTGCAAACACTCCGTTAACCTTGAGTGGCTGTTTCGAAAAAGACCAGTTTAAAGGAACAGTTCACATGAAAAAGAATATTCTACCATTGGATGGAAAAAAGCTTTTCTTTCAAAAAGATACAGGTTTTGAACAACAGAAGAGGGAAAATAAACGCAACTGTATCTTAAAGCAAGTGTGTGCATTAGCCACACAAGAACTGGCCTGATTACGCACACTTTATCTTGAAATATTGAATGTTTAACAAAAAAAACAAAAACAAAATTCAATTGATGCATTTTCCAGCTGGACACACTCGCAGGTGGGAATGTGTGCTGCATCAAAGTCTGTACTATATTCTGATAAAACTGATTCGGCTGTTTTGCCTACTGTGAGGGAGAGTTCAGCTATGATCCAGAGCGTCTTTTGAATTAATCGAAGCTGACAAAAAGTTCAGCTCCAGCCTGCAGGCACCATTGATATGCTTCTGTTTTCAGCTTCTATCACACTATTACTCCACCCTTTCATCCTCTTTTCTTTATTCTATCCTTTCTGTTCCCTTTTTATTCTTCGACGACAGCGTCCATAATCAATTTTGCATGGTGCTGAAATTAAACCTATAACCAGGGAGCGATAAGAGAAGCGTTTCTCTCTTCATATTACAGCATTTTAAAATATTTCCAAACACCCAAATTAATTCTATTTCTGATTCGGAATGTGCTGGAATTTAAACAGCTCTTTAGGAGGATCGGTGCAGTTTCGGTAATCCAAATCACCTGGAGTTTTTTGGATCTGCGTTAACAAGCTGGTCAGACAGAAAGAGTTTAACCCAGTGGTTCCCAACACTGGTCCTGGAGGCACCCCCACACTGCACATTTTGCATGTCTCCTTTCTCTGACACACCAATTTCAGGTCTTGAAGTCTCTACTAATGAGCTGATGACCTGAATCAGGTGTGTTTGATTAAAGAGACATGCAAAACGTGCAGTGTTGCGGTGCCTCCAGGACCAGGGTTGGGAACCATTGGTTTAACAGAGAGTGTGGGTGGTCAGCTCTCTGTGCTTCTTCAGCTTCTTCTGTTAGCCAATCATAGCAGTCGGCATTTACTTCCGAGTCTACATCCACCATGCTTATTCAAACAGAGCGTTCTGATGAGGGGGGTTAAAACAGGACAGAAAATAGCCTATTACTTAAAAAAATTAAATAAAAAAATGCCATTGTAAAAAGCCTCCAAGGGTCAAAATAAAATACATAAAAGCGTCTGTTAAAGAAACACCCACAACTTATTTTTGCTGTAAATGAAAGAGCAGCTATAAAAAGGGAGGATGAAAAAAGAAGAATTGTGTCCAAAAATGAAGAGGAATGAAGAGCTGAGGTAAAACCTGTTGTATTGGTCTCCATCTTCAAGACGTCGCGTCTTTACCCTGTCCAAGGCGACGAGGAAGGTGTCGTCTTTCTGCTTTGTCATTTGTGTACTGTGATCTGTGTTTGAGCTGTGGGGAATGAGGCATTGTACTTGGACCATGGATCACCAGGCAAGATTTTATGAACATGTGAGCAAACTGTAAATGAGAGGAGCTACCGCAGTACAATTCCAATGCCAATCAATATCTGTTAAAGCCCTCTAGATATTATGCTCCACATAGTACAGGGAAAGAGTGTGTAGGATGAGTGTTTTTGTGTATATGGGGTAAACAACCTTTGTCTGTACTGAAAGGTATGGGTGTGTATTTTTGTTTGCCAATTTGTGTGGATAAAATGTTCCCATGAGAAAAACGGCCTTCATAAAGGGATGTAAAAATGACAGTAAGGATGCTTGTTAGTTTGTTAGGGTTAAATCCCTGTCACATGACCCACGTCAGGGCTTCAGTGCTCCTCTTAACACAAGTGTCAAGCGCCGCTGTGATCTCCAGGTGAAAAAGCATTTTTATGACGTTGCTAGGCAGCAAGAAAGCGGGAAATAACTAATATGAACTGGAGTTTACAGCAGGAAAAAGTCCTGGTTTGTGAATGTCACCATATGTCTTCGACGCAGGGTGGGATATCAAAATTTAGGCTTCCAATAGCAGTCAAAAATTCAATACCTTACGTAACTATTAAACAGTTTGGTGACAGATGAAATGAAACTATGGCGGTCAATAGATTTACCAATTCAATATGAACAAAAATGTGTAATATATTAAAGCATTTAGGGCCAGATTTACTAAGAGCTTGCGACAGCGTAAACTGTCTTTTGGCGTTAAAATAGTACTGTCAGGATTTACTAAAGACGTGCAGTGAAGAATTAGCGCTGAAAAGGTATGGACACAGTTATTTTTGCGCCTTACCTTATTGAATATGCATTTGTAGGAGTTTCCCTTTCAGATGTAAAATTTATGGGAGGAGAGCATTCAAATGAATCACGCAACGCGATTTACTAACGTTTGTGCTTGTCAAATTACTGGTATTTGCTCCATTATTTAATGCCCAAAAAAATCATGTCTTAAAGCAGGCGGTAATTTGCGCTGCTCTTGGTAGATTGCGCTGGTCATTATGGAAATGCTCTGGTTGCGACTGTTCTCTGTATTGTGTGCATAGTAAGTAAATCACACACAGAATTTTTGTATCTGGCCCTTAGGAGGGAAAAAAAACTAAATAATGTGTAATTGTTGGGTTTGTGTAATATACAAAATATACACACTACCATTTGGGGTGCTTATGCTCACCAAGGCTATATTGCCATTAATTACACAAAAAACAGAAGCCAAATGAAAGTCCCCATCACGATATAAAATCAAAAGTGTGTGTATATCTGAATGCTTCAACCATTAGTGTCCAAATAACCTCAACAAGAACCAAAGCAGCTGTCTTTTGGACACCAGTAGAGGTAAAGCGTGTGGAGCAGATCTGTGGCATGAGGTGAAAAAAACAGCGTGTCCTTGAAAAGCTGCAGTCCTGTGCATTTCCTGCGAGCGCGGCTGCCACATGGAGCAGAGAAATGAGCGAGAAAATAGGCAAGTAAAGACAGAGCGTCTAATGACACAATAGCAGAGGACGGCACCATATGCCACCTACTCACTCTCATTACACACACGCATTCACAGACACTGACACACACGCGTTTGCTCTTGCATTATGCAATGCATTATGAGTAAGCACTAATGAGGGAAATCTGAATCTAAATTCGTATCCAAAAAGAGTCTAGAGCTTATGAATACAGGGTACGTGATTCACAGCCATGATGTACAAACATCTGGCTTGATAGAAGCTGCCAGCCAATCAGCTGTCAGGAGAGCCCACCCACCTTTAGAAGCCTCGGTACCGTACGGGTTCCCCAGGCTGTCAGTCAAGTCAGGCAGCCAAGCTTCTTTGACGGCGGATTTGAAGACCTCTCGGTTGTCCAGACTCTGGAGTGGGCGGAAGTTGTTACGCAGGTATTCCACGGATTTAACATGATCCTGCTGTTCTGTGGTGAAGATGGAGTAGAACGCTTCCAGCTGAGAGAGAAAGAGAGAGAGAGAGTTCAGTATGTTTTTATATCTGTCTCTTATTTTTCAGTAAGTCATCTCCCAAGATGCCCGGGGTCTATTTCCCCTCCTTCCAAACTAGTGACTCAGAGGAATGTTATTTTAGCTCACAGTCTGATCAAAGACTGAAAACACAACCGACCGTCTGTCTTACTTTCGCCTCTGCGATGCCTCACTAACCTTCTGTCTCTATCCCTCTCCTGCTTTTGTACTAAGGTTTGGATCAAGGTTGTTATATATACATATAAATTCGCTTCACTCTTTTTTCATTCCTTTTTCACCCCTTATGACATAGCACCACTAACTGCTCCTTCTGTCAAGAATGATACTGTACCATAATCAAAATAACACAAAGTTTAAGTCACATGTTACTTGTCAAATTCATAACAACATTGCTGCAGTCTTCGCTGACAATGAATTGTGCTATGCAAGCACCATCAGTGCTACACTTAGTAGCAAACTATGCATTACTGACATTGTGGCATTTCTAGTACATTTATAACTCAGAATGGACTGCATCAGCTCAGATCTTGCGTCAGATGGCCACACCAGAGAACACATTGTCCCTGGATTTGCCAAACTTGGCACACTTCATGGCATAGAATTTTTTTTAAATATTCAAGAGTTCTGTTTAAGACCGCTTGAATTCACTAACGAGATCTTGCCACAATTCTGTCTCTGAGCTCTTCAGGCAGTTCCTTTGACCTCATGATTCTCATTTGCTCTGACATGCACTGTGAGCTGTAAGGTCTTATATAGACAGGTGTGTGGCTTTCCTAATCAAGTCCAATGAGTATAATCAAACACAGCTGGACTCAGATGAAGGTGTAGAACCATCTCAAGGATGATCAGAAGAAATGGGCAGCACCTGATTTAAATATATGAGTGTCACAGCAAAGGGGGTGAATACTTAGGACCATGTGATATTTCCGTTTTTCTTTTTTAATAAATCTGCAAAGATGTCAACAATTCTGTGTTTTTCTGTCAATATGGGGTGCTGTGTGTACATTAATGAGGAAAAAAAATTAACTTAAATGATTTTAGCAAATGGCTGCAATATAACAAAGAGTGAAAAATTTAAGGGGTTCTGAATACTTTCCGTACCCACTGTATATTGTCTCTATATCGATACATATAAAAAAATCTATATATTGTCTATATATATAGAATATTTTGGTTATATCGCCCACCCCTAACGGAAATCCTCAAGAGCATTGTCAAATCCTACATTCCAGCACCAATACACCACAGAATCTGATTTGTGACATAATTTCCTGTGATTTTGGGTTGCATGCCGAGATCCGCTGCATCAATATGGCGCTCTCGAATAATTTCCTAATCACAATCCTCATCTATTAATCCCTCGTATGCCAAAACCGTGCTTGTAAACAGCTTATTGGGAGTGGGCACCGGCTACAAAAGCACGCATCTTATTGTGTACAATTCTTAGCGCAGTAGTAATCCGGGACAGATTTGTGTGTGGCGATGCCTCACTAACCTTCTGTCTCTATCCCTCTCCTGCTTTTGTACTAAGGTTTGGATCAAGGTTGTTATATATACATATAAATTCGCTTCACTCTTTTTTCATTCCTTTTTCACCCCTTATGACATAGCACCACTAACTGCTCCTTCTGTCAAGAATGATACTGTACCATAATCAAAATAACACAAAGTTTAAGTCACATGTTACTTGTCAAATTCATAACAACATTGCTGCAGTCTTCGCTGACAATGAATTGTGCTATGCAAGCACCATCAGTGCTACACTTAGTAGCAAACTATGCATTACTGACATTGTGGCATTTCTAGTACATTTATAACTCAGAATGGACTGCATCAGCTCAGATCTTGCGTCAGATGGCCACACCAGAGAACACATTGTCCCTGGATTTGCCAAACTTGGCACACTTCATGGCATAGAATTTTTTTTAAATATTCAAGAGTTCTGTTTAAGACCGCTTGAATTCACTAACGAGACTTTTGCATTTGTGTCTTTACAACATTTCTCAAAGACAGCTGCTCTGTTTTTAGTTATTGATAATGTGTTATTAATTGCATAAAATGTGACAAACAGTAATTATATATGTAATATATTAAGCATATAAAAATATTACTATTTTATTATTTTTACATATATTTTTTATGTTTGTTTTTGACATTATATTTATATTATATTTTTTCTTTGTTTTTATTTTAGCACTGACTGTTTGCTTATCTTCACTAAGCTTGAATTTTTTTATTTGAATTTTATTTATTATTATAATTTTTTAACTTTTGTTAGTAAGGCTAGTTTTAGTATTTTGTGATATTGAAATCGATGACAAGAATTATGAAATTTCAGTGGTATAAAAATTTTGATATAAAAACCAGCAAAAATAACTATATCACTATATACAGTGGGTACGGAAAGTATTCAGACCCCCTTAAATTTTTCACTCTTTGTTATATTGCAGCCATTTGCTAAAATCATTTAAGTTAATTTTTTTTCCTCATTAATGTACACACAGCACCCCATATTGACAGAAAAACACAGAATTGTTGACATTTTTGCAGATTTATTAAAAAAGAAAAACTGAAATATCACAAGCTCAGTATTTAGAGTAGAAGCACCCTTTTGATCTAATACAGCCACGAGTCTTTTTGGGAAAGATGCAACAACTTTTCCACACCTGGATTTGGGGATCCTCTGCCATTCCCCCTTGCAGATCCTCTCCAGTTCTGTCAGTGTGTGTGTGTGTGTGTGTGTGTGTGGACTGAAAAATAGCTTATCACTCCACACAGATAGGTGTCTGAATTTTCTGCATATGTGGGCAGGGATGAGAGCCCACGGTGTTGATCATTATCAGTTGTTTGTTAAAGACAGGTTTCTTGGCTGAGTTCACCTGAGTCTCTGTTGTGTTTGGATTCTAGATGGCTATACTCAACATGTTACAGTCACTTAGAAAATACAAATGAGCTTGATGCTTTCTTGGCCCATTTCTCCACTCTGTGAGTGTGTGTTGGGAGAGATCATCTGATTGCTGGTGGATCTGATTTCTCATACTGATAGCAGGTAAAAAATAGGAGATGGCGATATAATTACAGTTAATGTTCACACATGGTCCAAAGGAGAGAATGCAGAAAGTCTTCAGCAAAACCACAGCATAAACAAAGAGGGATTGTTATGAGACAAGAACCTGCAAACACTTCACCACCCAGCTCCTTTTCACTTCTAATCCTAACCACCAAATCCCCTGTTTTTCTCTCTCTTTCTTTCTATTCCTCTATTCATCTTTTTAGGTCTGTGTATCCAGTGACAGTAAGTTTAAATTGATCATTTCAGACAGACAGATTAAAGCAATAAGCCACAAGAAGCTGCACATTACAGTGAAGTTAACGTAAGTAAAATGTGTTCTTAGGCACAGCATGAAGCTGAATATAAAGTGGCTGTTATGATGTATGTGTGTGTATACATACATATATGCACTGTATGTATAATGACAATATGAGGCATAACATGGCTCATCCAATTAGAATTGATAATCAAAAGTTGAACTATCCATTTTATAAGGCAGAATATCATGTCCTAATTCCTTAGTCTTGATACGCAATACAACGTACGTGTGTGTGTGTGTGTGTGTGTGTGTTTATGCAATGACTGTGCATCATGGGTAAGAAGGTTAAGTAATCCCTGGTGGGAAATCACAGCAATAGGGCCGTTCTGGATCACACATCTGTGTGTGTGTGTGTGTGTGTGTGTGCGTGCGTCACTGCTTAAAAGACATGTTGGCGTCTGATGGTTGAGTAATCCCTTATGGCTAACCACAGCAACAGGGCATTCTTGGGGCAAACTGCAAGATATGTGTGTGTGATGTCCACCTATGCTCCAGATGTTGCAAATGCAGTAGACTGGCTGAGCATCGATCGGCTCTTAAAGCGCCCCAGAGCTCCGTCTGTCAGTCTCCGTGACCTACTTCCTGCTTTGATGAAGAACAAAGGAGCAAGAAAAATGGGGAGTGAAGGACAACTGTCTTCCTCCATAGATTCACTTATATCTGCCTCAGCAGTGTTTCCTTTTAAACAAAATCACCCAGAGACGAAAGGGAACAAAAGAACTTTAAGAGGTGTCAAATGAGAGCAGAAAGCTTCTGTGGGCAGCGTTTATGGCTCTACGGAAAGGACTGTGGCTTCCTGTAGAAAGCTCGCTGAGCTGTGACCGTTACACGTATCACTTCCTGCAGTTTTGATCTGACGGGCTCAGAACATTTGGATACTGATGGTGACTCACACTTCTGACAAAATCTGGGCTATTATTGCATATTTTTCAGTGATTACACATAAGAAGTCGACTATATGTAAAGTCATGTAAATGCCTTCATACCTTGTCAAAAATGGTTAAAACTTTAAGATTTTTGCCCATTAGCCTGATTTGACTTTGAATGCAAATTGCTTTTTCAACATTATGCCATTGTATTCAATGTGCGCAAATCAAATTTTTGACATCATCATTTTCTGATTTGCATTCAAACCCCTAAAATGGGCTTTTAAATGAGTCGAATCTATCGTATGCCAATCTGTCTCAACAGAAATTTAAATAAAGAAAAAGTGTAGCATCTGCAAAACAACATATTAGCCTGGAATAATTTCTGGTTCAAATGTCCTCTGTCTGTGGGTTTCTTAGTGGCGCATTTGCATAAGATGTGTACTTGAGTTCATAGATGGCTAGACGGAGCACAAGAAGAGAAGAGAACACTGGGGTATTTTTAAAGTAAATAATTTTTAACTCAAAATGGCATGATACTAATGGCGGCACACTTAAAAACAGAGCAAGATATAACAAAGTTGTCGAAGATATTGAAGACAAGAATGCTAATTGAAGTTCTTTTATGACAACTCTCGGAAGATTTTTGCATGATAATGGATATGACAATGTTAACGTATTTGGTCTTGGTGGAATAGATCTGCTACGCTTCTGCTGCTGAATTGCTGCTGCTGTTAGTTATTGCTGTTGCTGTAGATTATTTTAACCAGAAATGCTCTGCTCTGCTGCTGCAAAGCAAGTACAGGAACTTGCTACTGCCAATACAAACGCAGACATGGTGTTGTAAGTATTTAAGACATACTGCTGCTGCACAAATAGCATATAAAATAACCCGTAGCAGATCTATACAGGTGGAGCTGGGGAAGGTGAAGGGTTTCATAGGAACGCTCTAGTGAACGCAAATGCTCTAGTGAATGCTAACCAGGCATTTAAATACAAAGCAGTAAGCTCATTGGCTGCATATGCAACATGAACCAATCAGCTTGTGCCAAGCAATTTAACTCTGTGAATATCATCAGTTAGTGATAAGGACCCATCAGTCTGCGCCATCTGGAGTTTCATGACAGAACATGGCATTACAAAAAACTAACTAAAACAAAAAAAATACGAAATAGTCAACATTGCTAATTGACTAGCCAATTGTAGAAAGACTAGTCATTAATATACATTGTGACTAACAAACTCTCATGACAGCATGCATACAACATTACATGTGTGTGTGTGTGTGTATATATATATATATATATATATATATATATAGGACCTTGTACGCATGCATACAATATTATAAATATATATTTTTGATTGCTTCCACTTTCCTAATTTGTAAGTTGCTTTGAACAGAAGAGTCTGCTAAATGACTAAATGTAAATGTAATGTGTGTATATATATATATATGCACTGTGTCAGCTGACAATCAGGTAAACAATAGGATGGCACATTAAAGGTGCAATAGGTGATTGTTTAGGCATGGCTTTGGACAGCGATTGCAGGGAGGGTGGGACGTTCGCGTTCAGTGCTATCAGGCTAAAGTTAGCATTTTCCGAGATCCAGTGGTGGAAGAGTACTGAAAAAATATACTCAAGTAAAAGTACCATTACCTTCCAAAAAATGTACTGTGAGTAGAGTAAAAGTACTTGTTCAAAAAACTACTTGAGTAAGAGTAAAAGAGTAGCCTATTTAAAAGTACTCATGAGTATCGAGTAGTGAGTACTCAGCTGTGGATTCTACCCCCTCATTAAAAACTCTGTACACCGCAATTTATGAAGAACATTATGTTGTGTATTTGGTGTAATGCAATGTGTTTATGCAGTTTAAGGTTCAAAAAACACATTATTTTCCACATAATGTACATTATTGTTGCTCTTCTATGCCCCGCCTTTCTGAAACGCGTCGATTTTTACAAAGCTCTAGTTGTGTCCTCTTTTGGAAGGCCAAACAAAGTAGTTTCGTTTTTACAACGAAACACACATTGTCTTCACGACATGGCGGCTGCGGCAACAACTACAGTGAGACACACACACACACACACACACACACACACACATAAGCCGCGTTTCCACTGTCAGGCCAAAAGCGGACGTGCTAGTGCATGCCAGTGCCAGTCATGTTTCCACTGTCACTTCCGGGGCTTGATCGTGCCTCGTCGGTGCTTCCTCGGGGCCAACGGCCCGGGTTTTTTGGCCCGACGAAAACCTTGGGCCAAAGCGGGCCAGCTGGGGCTAGAGGAGTTTCTCCGCATCTGGAGAGCGTCAGCGCCGCGGATCATTTCATAAAGTTAACAGCTATAACACCAGCATTAAAGACTTTTAAAATAATTTCAGTTCAAAACTCACTTTCAGACAGCAGCGAGAGTTTGAAATAACTTGATCCGATGTGGATTATGATCACCATACAAAGCAGAAAGATTTATAAGCAATGCAAAAGGCTATGCATGCTAGCCATTAACGTTACCATAGTAAACATGGTAAATACGACCGCTTGAAGAAATCAGATGTCAGCTTTTTATTCTCTATCACAATCGTGTATTTACTTAGTAACATACCTATTTTATCTGTCATGAGTCTCATCTCCAGAGTTTAGCTCTGCGTATGTCATAAAAATATAATAGCCTAATGGTTTTTGTTCGGGAGCTTTTATAAAAATATAGAAATGATAATTCTTTCTAAATGTGATGTATATAACTGTGACTACAAATAAACAGAAACAGACTCGACTGAATAAGTAGCTAGGCTATGTTCATACCGCTTTATTTCTGTGTGACCAATTTTCAATCCTGATAAATTAATTCATTATGATCAATGTATCACTTATTATTGTAAAACATTGATGCTTTTGGATTTAAATCTTTAACAAAGCATGCAAACAAACGGCCGCTTTTATCATGCTGGTTTTGTGATCGCGCTAGTTCCAGTGACTTATTTCTTATTCGTTTTCTGATAACTTCTCTTTGTTGGTAAAATGATGGGGTTGCGTCGTGACGTTGTTCCTGAGAGGCGTGTAAAGGGCGGGTTTTAGTGAAGCG